CAAGAGTTCCAAATCTGATTTAGATATTTCGTGCTATAATCTTTAGAAACCATCAACCTACAACCTCTATATAGTTTCTAGATGTTGCTTTTCTTTATATCTTAATTTAATGTTTTCAAGCCATACAAATCATCATAACTAGCAGAAAAAAATCAGACAGTCAGCAGTCTTATATCAATATAAAGTGGCTGGTCTATTGGACCTTAATCCCTGACCCCCATATAATTCAGAATCTATTTGAGAAGAGTTGCATAGAGGCTTGTTTCATGGTGAGGCTACATGCTAGGATGGGTATCTTTATGCCAAGATTCTTTTCTATTTCTTCCTTTCCTTATTTTTTGCCTGAAGGTTGTGAATTGTGTTCTTAAAATATTGTATGTTTTAAAACATAGTAGGTAAATAGTTTTTAATCCTCAATTTGAGAAGGCAGTTTAATAAACAAAGTGGTTCCTATATTTAGAAGTATGTATAGTAACATTTTCACAAAGGAAAGTCTAAATTTAACAATACCAGTAAAAACATCTGGTAAGGGTTAATTTTTCATAGAATAAATAAGATTATAAACATTTGTTCTTCACTGCTTAATGGCAGCCTCCTGAGATGGATGGATGGATGGATGGATGGATGGATGGATGGATGGATGGATGGATGGATGGATGGATGTGTGTGTGTGTGTGTGTGTGTGTGTGTGTGTGTGTGTGTGTGTGTGTTGTGACAAATAAAAATCAAATATTGAATTTTCATAGTGGAACTTTCCACTTTCCACATCTTTACTTGTTTGATATAGCAACTGAGACCATGTGGGTGAGAATATCAAATCTACATACACAGAATATTTTTCTTCTTATGATTTAGAAACAGGTAGCATCTTTTTAGAGTAGTATTCATCTTTCTAAGTATGATTATAATCATTATTATATAATGATTATTATAATCATTATTCCTAACAAGATTTGCTACCATTCGTTTTATTTTTTTCTTCTTCAGGATTATACATTAAGAAGAGCAGCTTCTAGATATTTGAGGCACTAATATAAATTATATTGAAGGATCTTTATACTATATTTTGTTACACAGCTGGTTCTGCCACTCACGCTTCTCTTCAAGGAAACTTCCACTCAGTGTTGGACAGAAGTAAAGTGGTGCTTATTTAGAGAGGTGTTTGTTCCAGGATTTTAAATCAAAGGTTTAAAAACAGATGCCATTATACTTCTTTGCTTGCCGTGTCCTACTTTCAAAGAGTTTCTTTCCTTAAAGTTAAGCTTTAAACTTATATCACTGCCATCACATTATGTTAATATCAATCAATATTTTCTAAAGCAGAGTCAAACTGACACAATAACTTTTCAAAAGGGATTTTTTTCCAATCTGAGTTGAACTACAGATTAGCAGTTCACATAAAACAGCTTTGTTTAACTTTAGCATTTATTAGATGTGCTAACTCTAATCCCTAACATTCTAAGCAATCATTATTTGGCTCAAGAGTTGGTGGGTATTGAATTTCACTCATCTGGGGTGACCAAGTTGGAAAAAACTAATATAAAGCTCTTTAATTTATTGCAGAAAAATATTTATTAATATGTCAGTTCTCTCTATGTATGCATACAGAACAATAATTAGATCTTGTCTGTGTCGTTAAGTCTGTTTTAAACAAATAAAAACAAAAGGGCATAAAGTCTACTAAATTTTAATTTTTTTTGAGGCAAAGGATATGGACAAATAACTTTTCAGTATAATTTAATGCAATGTTGCATGTTGCATTTCTCTACATAATATCATTTCCAGTTGTAGCTCTTGTTGTTAGATCTTTGTCCACTCACTCTTTAGGGAAAACTCCACTTAGATTACTTTATTACAAACAGTTATTTGGTCTTTGAAGCATACTCTAATTAATATACAGTGTGAGTGCTATAAAAACATTTCCTTAGTTCAATTTCTCAGGGTCTAAGGCTGCTGAGTAAATGAATAGTTTTGAATCTATGTTGTTAGAGTTGCAGATTTAGAGATTCATGGTACCATTTAGCAGAATAAACATGTTAGGGTTGCCCTACCATATCAACTATCATGCTGCTTTGGATTCTGAAGTCACAATATATATGGGGCATGCCATATTGAGAAAGGCTCAAGAAGGAAATAAAATGCCAGCAAATTGCCTGTTGTGCCTTTGTTTGTGAAATTATATCAGTAAAGTTTTTTTAAATTAAATTAAAATAATTCAAAGTTTAATGGAAGTCATAATACTTAACATTTGTTTCAGTGCATGTATGCAATAATTCTGGTCAAACCCAGTGGGTATTTTGTGCTGATATAGCTTTGCACTTCCTTAGTATGATCTTATTTCTAAATAAGCTATCAGTTTGTATTAATCTTCAGGAAATTCATATATCAGTATTGCTTAATAATAAGATGACGGAGGGGGAAGTTTACTGAAAATTTTCTTATTATTTCTCCTACTGGCAAATCCAAATATCTCAGAGTAATCACAATCACTTTCTTTATTACATCTTGTAATTCTTTGCTACTAAGAAAGTGTATATGTTAATATCAATTAATATATGTTAATATATATGTATGTATATATACATGTGGGGCTTTTTTTTGTCATAGAATGTCCAAACAGAGTTCCAGCACCTTTTTTTGGATGGAACCTTGTAGGGTAGACAAGGCAGGTTGTATGACATGTGTGGGTTCCGGCACCATTTTTTTTTTTTTACAAGAAAAGCATTGTATACATGTATGTATGAATGTATGTCTCCTCCCAACCTAGCATTTCAAAAGCATGCAAATGCAAATAGATAAATAGGTACTACTTCAATGGTAAACTAACAGCATTCCGTTTGTCATGCTGGCCACATGACCATGGAAGCATCTTTGGATAATACTGGCTCCTTAGAAACCTTTACCTTTACTTTTATGTATGTATGCATGTATATTTGGTTCAATCATGTCCAATTCTTGGAGATTGCCCAAACAGGTCCCTGCAGTTTTCTTGGCAAGGTTTGTCAAGCTGGCTTTAAGACAGTACTGGTCTCTTGGTTTCTAGTCTGATGCCTTAACCACCACAGAAAACTGGTTCTCATGTCAGTATATAGTAAACTGGTAATCCAGACAGATTACATAGTTGTAGTTTAGTTCATAAAGAAATAATTTGGCATGTATTGCAAATTGCCTGCAGTCTCCCTCACAATAAACTCAGTTTATATTCTCTGCGGGAGAAAGGGGAAAATATTAATTCAGCTAATATAAATTTCCCTTCTCCTTTCTTGTTGTTATTTCTCCTGATAATTAAAGAAAATTCTCATATGTGAGAATGTAGATGATTGTATCTCACATTATACTACCATAGTAATATGGTCCCACATTTACAACAGGTTCAGAGGCCAAGTATGAACTTGGTGTTAGACTTCCAAGAACCATTCTTGTCACAACCACTAGGTGGATCAAAGATAATTTCAGGTCCATTTGATGGATCTCCCAGAATACTGGAAGATGGAAAACATTAAATAGTGTTGACAATTGTATCAGCTATCCATCCAGAACTGAAGTAATGCTTATGGAAATCTTGTGGAATGGAATGCAAATCCTTCTTCTCTTCATTTATTAGATGCAATGTGCAGGAAAATTGTCTACTATAGAATCCTATCCAAAATACATGTTGTTTCAACAATTTCAGCTAAGCAACTTCATACGTAGTTTCTTCTCATTCTCTCCCAACTTGCCTTTTGTCAGGCATGAAAGTTCCAATTAAACTGATTTATTACTAATCATTCCTATGCACAGGAATCTACTCAACTAACAACACTATCTTGGCATTAGATAAGAACTATGGAGTTAAAGAGGACTTATTCTCTTTGTGGATATGTAGAGACTCTAGACTAATTCCTCTTTGCCCCAGGTTCTGCCACTCCTCTTACATTTTTTTTCTTTTTGTTGCTTTGATTTCTTCACTGAGGTATTTTTTATTGCCTTTGACCTGGTAGATGAACATACTTTAAAGTGGCAGCCAAGTTAACTCTTCGGAAGTCCTGGCTAATTCTTAAAAATTAGTAAAAAAGTAAACAATATTGTCAGTTCACCAAAGGCACAAAAGATTATTTTGTATTAAATATTATTTCAAATGAGTCATTGAATGAGATTAAACTTTTAAACAATCCAGAATTTTCAGAATTACAAACAATAGGCACAAAATTACATAGATAAAGCACCAAGTTTTTTGAAAGAATTCAGTAACTAAGGAATTTCAGTGGTTAAGATTACAATAATGGGAAATGCAGAGTGTTTAATAAGATGGAACAATAAAGGATTAGAATAGAATGGAAATAGGAAAATATTGTGCAAGACATTATTGTCATAAAATAATATTCAAATTGCATAATGTTTTCTCTTTTGCAGTAGACATGCTTGCAAGATGTTTATTGAAAAGCCTCTGTTTGCTTGGAGGCTTAGTCCTTGAGCCTTGCCAGTAGTCTAATATGCTTTCTGTCACTAGGCCATATCAAATATTATACAGCAGACTACTCAGACAATAGGACTTTTCTTTCCTTCCTCTTCACCATAATGCCATTGTATCTTTCCCCTCACCCCACAAAAAAACAATCTGGGAAGCAAAACTGTGAAATTTAATTCTGATCGTTTTGATTTAATAACACAACAGATTCTGAATCCATATATTTTAAAAGAACCAAGTTCTATCGAACTGTAGGAATTCCAAATTTCTAAGTATTTACAATAGAGCTTCCCATTATTTTAACTGTGTGAGGAAAAAAATAGATATTAAAATATAAGTATGCCAGTATTCTCAACTCGCTCAACTTTGTACTTTGTGAGATTTTTGAAAAATGAAAAATGATAAGTTTCACCACAGTTAGATTTTCCCTGAATTCTGAAATTGCAAAAACACATGAAAGTGGTAATGAAATTCCTTATATTTGTGCTCAAAAATTTAGGTCATTTTCTGTTCCTTCAACATTGTCATAAAAGAGGCTTTTTCAGCTTCTTACCTTAAGGACGCAATTCTTTTTTCTTTTTTTGTAGATCATTTTTACTAACTGTCATGAAAAAAAAAAGTACAAGTTGCAGCATTATTCACAAGTTTTTGACACGTATTAGGAAATGACATCAGGTTAAAAATGATCAAGAGGAAAGGAACAAGGATCTTGTGGTTATGGGGGATGAACTAGCAGCACATAACTCTGTGTCATAATTGCTGTGTAACCTTAATAACAACAGACCAAATTATTCTTAACGGAATAACAGAACAACAGAGTTAGAAAGGACTTTATAGGTCTTTGAGTCTAACCCCCTACTCAGGCAGAAAGCCCTATACCATTTCAGACACATGGTTATCCAATCTCGTCTTAAAAACTTCCAGTGTTGGAGCATTCACAACTTCTGAAGGCAAATTGTTCCACTGATTAATTGTTCTGGTAGGAAATTTCTCCTTAGTTCTAGGTTGCTTCTATCCTTGAATAGTTTCTATCCATTGCTTCTTGTTCTACCTTCAGGTGCTTTGGAGAATAGGTTGACCCTGCTCTTCTTTGTGGCAGCCCCTTAGAGATTGGAACGCTATTGGAATACTCTTGATTTAGAAAAGCAAAGATTTCTGCAGTCCATTAGGCCCAAAAGTCTTGCAGTGGATAAGTCCACAAAAATCTAACAATCTTTAGGGCAATGCATGAATATTAAAATTAGCATTTTGCTATAACTGGCCTGTTAAAAATAGTTAAACTACTAAACATCATTAGAAAAAGTAAATGACAATATGCCCTTGGACAAGCAGATATACCATAAATGTTATTGGCCCCATTGGGGTTGAATTCAATGTATTTGGGGGAAATGAAGTTAACAATAGTAAGAGCATTAAATCCAAGTTTTCTGTATTATCTATATTAATAGTATACAATATTGTAAATACAGTCATTACAATTACCTGTAAATCCATTTCATTAGTTGCTTCTGAATTTGCACAATAGGTTTTCATTTTGAAAGTGCCATAAAAACATTATTACTACTAATATTATTATTTTTTTGCTCTATCAGATTAAGTAACCTACTCTCATAAACTGCAAGAATGTGTGCATAAGCATTTTGAATCTCAGTGATAAAAGAAATATTTAATAAGAAATATAATCTGTTTATTGTCACGTGAAATCTATTGCAGGGGTTTCTTTTTTCCCACCAACAACAAGGTGTTGTGTCCTGAGCCTGCAAAGGCAGGCCCAGGACGTTGCAATGGTCCCGGGCAGTTGCAAGCTGCCCGGGACCAGACTGAGTGGCGCCAGCTTCGCGCGCATGCACAAGGCGAGGAAGCGCGCCAGAATATTATCTTTTTGCCCGGGGATGCTATTAAAGGAGTCAGAGAGGTTTGCAAGCCTCACAGCTGTGACGGAGTGAGAACTACTTAAAATAAAGGGCTGTTGGAATTACAGAATGTGCTGTATTCATTCGCCATTGACTCAAGGACTCAACAATGGCGACGAAGGTGGGATGGCTTACAAAAACAAAAAAGAAGAATTGTAAGCTTACCCAAGAGTCCTGGAGAGAGGAAGACGGCGTTAAACTCAGCACCTGACCTGTCAGTACAGCGTCGCTGAAGGTAAGCTGGCTGATAGACCCCTTCCTAACATAGAAGCAAGAATAGGGAGAATGTCTGAATTCGATGTCACGCACCCAGAAAGATGGGAGTCTTATGTTGCCAGAGTAGAAAATTACTTTAGAGTAAATCAAGTAAGAGAAGATGGCTTGAAGGCTGCTACTTTGCTGTGTGTCTGTGGTCAAGATGCATTTGAAATTGCTGAAAATTTAGCAGCCCCTGCTCCTCTTGAATCTGTCACTTATACAGATTTAAAAAAATTATTGAAGGAACATTTTCAGCCCAAGTTGTCTGTTATTGCATGGAGACATACTTTTGAACAGAGGGATCAAAGAGCTGGTGAATCAGCTAAAGAATACATTGCAGCCTTAAGAAGAGCAGCTAAGCCTTGTGATTTTAAAGACTTAGAGGAAAGGTTGAGAGACCGATTTGTATGTGGGCTTAGGAACAGAGACTTGCAACAGAGACTCTTTGCAAAAGAGGACATTTCATTCCAAGATGCCTTGAGAGAGGTCACTGCAGAAGAGGCAGCAGGTGGGGCAGTCAAGAACATGAGGCCTATCAGGAACAATCCAGAAGCCGTCTCTGTGCACCATGAGGGAGTCCAGGAAGAAGATCCTGAAGATGAGGTGGATCATCTCTACCCAGCCAAAGAAAGGAAGCAGAAGGAAGGCAAAGAAAAGTCTTCAGCTGTACCCAAGTGCTTCGGGTGTGGAGGTCGCCACAAGAGGACCGACTGCAGGCTCCGTTCCGCAATCTGTAGAGCATGTGGAAAGCAAGGCCACATAGTAACTGTGTGTCTGGGCTGTCAGAAGGTACAACCCCGAGAAGAATTGCGCCTGAAAGGTACCAGGGTCCCCAGCCAAAACAGGGTGGGTTTCTGTGCATCACGTAGAAGCATTTATAGGACAGGCACACACAGGCCACTTAAAAAGGAACTGTCACTTAAGGTGAAGTTGCAAGGAGTTCCATTGGTTATGGAACTGGACACTGGATCTGCACTTTCAATCATTTCCATTCACACTTTCAGAAATATTTTCTCTAGCAATGGGTTCCGGGCCAAGCTTAGGCCATCCAATATAGTCTTAACAGACTTCCAAAATTCCAAGGTGTTGTGTTAAGGGGGAGGCCACCCTTAAAGTACAATACAAGGATTTTGAAGGTCCATTAGATGTATTGGTAGTTGGGGGTGAACGCACAAGTCTCATTGGACTCGATTGGTTTGAGGCCTTGGGAATACAAGTTACAGGGCTTCACAATTTGCAAACATTAGGTGTACAAGAAGTCTGCAAAGAATTTGCAGATGTCTTCAGCCCCCAGCTGGGAGCATACAAAGGCCCTCCAGTTTCCTTGAAACTGGACCCCACTGTCACTCCCATTAGAGTGAAAGCTAGAAGAATACCCTTTGCTTTGAAAGGGAAAATTGACGCTGAATTGGACAAATTGATTCAGCAAGGTGTCTTAGAACCTGTTGACTCAAGTCCATGGGAAACTCCCATAGTCACACCTCTCAAGGCTAATGGGGACATTCGCATCTCTGCAGATTACAAATGCACTCTAAACAAGGCATTGCAACAGCATGCATATTCTGTACCTGTAGTCAGCCACATTTTGGTCTCCCTCAAAGGGGGGGCGTGTTTTTGCAAAGCTAGATTTAGCACAGACTTATCAACAGTTACCTGTTGATGAAGCTGCTGCTGAAGTACAGACTATTGTAACTCATAGGGGGGCATTCAAAGTCAAAAGACTACAATTTGGAGTAAATGTAGCTCCTGAAATTTTCCAAAGTGTAATGGAAAACACCCTGAGAGGTATACCAGGGGTTTGCCCCTATTTTGATGATGTCCTAATAGCAGGACAATCCACTCAAAATTTAGCTGACAGATTGAGGGCTGTTCTGCTGCGTTTCAGGAAAACAGGTCTCAAGCTTTAAAAAGACAAATGCAAAATTGGAGTGTCTTCTACAGATTTCCTGGGATTCAAAATAGATGCCAGGGGCATTCACCCTGCTGAGTCTAAATTAAAGGCTATACTGCAAGCTCCTAGGCCTAAGTCTAAAGCTGAATTACAAGCTTTTCTGGGCCTCTTGAATTTTTACAAGTCATTCATACCTAACAAAGCTAATGTAGCTGAGCCACTTCATAGACTCTTAGACAAACAGGCATTGTGGCAGTGGTCACAAGCACATGAAGAAAGCTTCAATGAGGTCAAGGCCTTACTTACATCAAATAATGTGCTTGCACATTTTAATGAAACTCTTCCTGTGTGCATCGCTTGTGATGCTTCCCCTTATGGGGTGGGAGCTGTACTTAGCCATTTAAGACCTGATGGAACTCAGGTTCCTGTTGCATATTGCTCCAGAACCTTGTCCTCTGCTGAGCGAAACTATGCTCAGATAGATAGAGAGGCCTTGGCCATTGTTGCTGGAATTAAAAAATTCCATGATTTTCTATATGGCAGACACTTCACGGTCTACACTGACCATAAGCCTTTGTTGGGGTTGTTTACTATGAACAAACTCCCCATATCATCTCCCCTAGAATGCTGAGATGGTCCATCTTTCTGTCAGCCTATGACTTTTCCTTGGTTCACAAACCTGGCAAGGAAATGGGCCACGCTGATGGCCTTAGTAGATTTCCTTTACAAATTGTAGAGGCTGACCCTGCCCCTGCCATCAACATTCTTTCCATTCAGGCATTGCCTGAGTCTCCCTTAAATGCCAGGGATGTGGCTGCTGAATCAGCCACGGATCTCACACTCACTCGTGTATTGTCCTGGGTCTTGTCTGGATGGCCTGAGAGTTGTCCAGGTACTGAGTTTCAGAATTTCTGGCTCAAGAAGCATGAGTTATCCACTTTTCAGGGTTGTCTGTTCTGGGGCAGCAGAGTTGTTATTCCTACCTCAATGAGACCTAAGGTTTTGGCTTCCCTTCATGAGGGCCATCCTCGCATTGTCAAGATGAAGGCGCTTGCGCGCAGCCATTTATGGTGGCCAGGGTTAGACAGGGAGATAGAGGCTCAAGTGCATGGATGCCACTTGTGTCAGCGCTCATGCCCAGAAATGCCTCAGGCTCCTGTACATAGATGGGAGGAAACACAGTCACCTTGGTCTAGGGTGCACGTAGATTACGCTGGGCCCTTTCAGGGTCAATTCTTCTTGGTCCTTGTTGACAGCTATTCAAAGTGGCTTGAGGTTGTACCTGTCTCTTCCACCGCTGCTGCCAAGACCATTCAAGTACTGAGAGGGATTTTTGCTACACATGGGCTCCCAGATGTCCTGGTGTCTGACAATGGTCCTCAATTCACTTCTTTCAAGTTTCAGGCTTTCTTGCAGGCCAACATGATTCATCATGCCACCTCTGCACCATTCCACCCTTCCACCAACGATATGGCTGACCGGATGGTCTGCATCACCAAGGATGCTTTAAAGAAACTGACCTACGGGGACTGGCACCACAGGTTGGCAGACTTTCTTCTTGCTTACCGCAACACACCTTCAACTTCTACTGGGAAGACCCCAGCTGAACTCCGTTGAGGGCGCAAATTGATCACCAAACTTGACAGGTTGCACCCGGACAGACTGCCTCCTAAGGTCACCCAACCCAGGGCACCGCGGTGTCTGCAAGTGGGTGCCCCAGTATGGACCCGGAACTACGGGCCCGATCACTTGTGGGTTCTTGCCGTAGTATGCAAGGTTACTGGTCCATTGTCCTACGAGGTCTCCTTGGACGACGGTCGTGTCCTTCGGCGGCATATCGATCAGCTGCGTACGAGACTGGACCTACCCTCTGCAACTCCTGGGCTTTCTCCAGGGGGGAGGGGGACCACTATGGGCAAAGGGAAGGGTGTTGGCAGCAGCCGGGGCCAAACGGAGAGGCCAAAGACGGCCTGTTCCAGGGTTCCGCAATTCAGGAATTCAGGGGAACAAGAAATAATACAGATACCAGTGCCTACTCCAGCCAGGGAGTCACCCAGGGGGGCATACTCATCATTCACAACTACCATTCAGTACTCCAGTCAGGGAGAATAACCGGGAGCATCCTAATAACCCAAACATTGCAAGAGAACTGGCACACAAACAGTCAAGTTGGTCCAGTACTGCTACTGCTTCCAAAAGGAAGTCTTCACACAGGGAGGTGGCCAGAGAGGCAAATCCCAATTCTGGCACCTCCGGTATAGATTGGGGGGCAACTGAGTATTGGGGCACTGCAGAAACCCCAGACAATCCCGTTACGGGGCTTGGGAGTGAAGGGATGCATTCCCTTGATAGGTCCATTGTGGACTTGGAGGGTTCTACAGAAATGCCAAACATTGGCAGGCATACAGAGGGGCCTGAGAGCCTATAGTTAGGCAGGTCAACCAGGTTCATGGGGGAGCAAAGTCCTGGTCTGACAAGCCCGGTGGGCAAGCAAGCAGACCAGGCAATGGGACACGGTTCACGGGGACCACCAGGGTTTGAAAGAGGGGACAACTCCACTTCATCCTCTGCACAAGAGGAAGTAGGGGGTTCTCAGAACCTGAGGAGGTCACAGAGAGTAAAAAGATCTCCCAAGTATCTTGAGGACTTTGTAACCCTGCTGTCAAAGCAAGGAAAGTGAGAGGGTGCCTGCTGTTGTTGGAAAAACTGGGAGTGTGAGTATTGGGTAGTTAATTCCAAAACAATAGCCCAGTACCATTTGTGGTGTGGCTATTGCACAGCTGCAATAGATGTGCAGGTTTTGGGTGGCACACCACGCTTGTGTTGAGGTCACGTATAACTACCTATATAGTTAATAAGTCTCATCCGGGGGGGATGAGGTGTTGTGTCCTGAGCCTGCAAAGGCAGGCTCGGGATGTTGCAATGGTCCCGGGCCTGCCGTTGCAAGCTGCCCGGGACCAAACTGAGTGGTGCCAGCTTCGCGCGCATGCGCGAGGCAAGGAAGCACGCCAGAATGTTACCTTTTTGCCCGGGGATGCTATTAAAGGAGTCAGAGAGGTCTGCAAGCCTCAGAGCTGTGATGGAGTGAGAACTACTTAAAATAAAGGTCTGTTGGAATTACAGAATGTGCTGTATTCATTTGCCGTTGACTCGAGGACTCAACACAAACTTTTTCTGTTTTGACATCTCTGGTGGAACTCATAAAATCATTAAACAGAGCAAACATGAAAGGACAATGGAGGGTTTGTTTTAAGGTAGACACAGCCACCTCTGACACAAAGTTGGTATATCTGTTGTCTTGCAGCCCCAGACAGCCTGCTCTAAAATACAATCAAATATCTGCTATATTTGCAGGACACAAGTAGAGATGGGCCACCAGTTCTTGCTGAAGGTCTATTATTTTTACTAAGTTTGTTTTTTGATTTTTTAAAACGTCTGAAGGAATTATCAAATTCCTTTGCTCATAGATTAAAAAATATATTGCTGTAAATAAAATGTGTAAACAAAAATGTTTCACTGATAATAGCAGATATAAAGTCAAAATATACCCGATTATTCAAGATCATGTGAAGTGTTAATATCACATTACAATGCCTTCATAAGGCCACACTTGGAATACTGCATCCAGTTTTGGTCACCACAATGTAAAAAAGATGTTGAGACTCTAGAAAGAGTACAGAGAAGAGCAACAAAGATGATCAGGGGACTGGAGGCTAAAACATATAAGGAACGGTTGCTGGAATTGGGAATGTCTAGTCTAATGAAGAGAAGGACAAGGGGTGACATGCTAGCAGTGTTCCAATATCTCATGGGCTGCCACAAAGAAGAGGGAGTCAAACTATTCTCCAAAGCACCTGAAGGCAGGACAAGAAGCAATGGATGGAAACTAACCAAAGGGAGAAGAAACCTAGAACTAAGGAGAAATTTTCTGACAGTTAGAACAATTAATCAGTGGAACCATCTGTCTCCAGAAGCTGTGAATGCTCCAACACTGGAAGTTTTAAAGAAGAGACTGGACAGCCATTTGTCTGAAATGGTATAGGGTTTCCTGCCTGAGCAGGGTGTTATTATTATTATTATTATCAATTTTAATTTTAGTTTTTATAATACTGGATTGAGATTTTCAAGAGGAATGTTCAACACATCTAGTTGAGTAAGACAGTGGCAGTGTTTAGCTTACTGGACCCAATGCTCATATCTTACAAATTCTGTTGGTAATAGCAGATAATATTTTACAATGCATAATGTTTTCAGATACAGTCATGCTATGGGCATGACTGAACTTTCCCAATTAATCTTAATTATCTGTAAGTCTGATTTGACTATAACTCCACCCAGCATCAAAGCCTTTAAAGATCAATGAACTGAGAAGGCAGATTGCTAGATCATATTATCCTTAGCTTTGATATGTAAAGCTTTTTAAAACTGTACTATAACACTTAAATTAATCAAGGTATGGGGCCCATCTATAGGGATGAGGATAATCTTATGCATCATTATTTCTAGGCAGTGTATACATATAAAATGGTATGAAACACTGAGATTTTATTCATGCAAATGCAAAGAATGTGACATGACTTTGTTACTCACAATGTCATCTGTCAAGAAATCACTGCCTTCTTGTGCAATATAAACTATGAAGAAACTGAGCAGAAGAATTAGGAGTGATGGGAAAGTACAGTTAGGGTTTTTTCCTTGATTGATGTAATGTTTATTCTTGATACATCACTATGGCACTGTCAGTTTGTTTTATTCCTGTTAACAGAAGTTTAGTATTTTGCAAAATGAAAAGGATGTCATTTATTTATTTATACTTATTCTACCAATGAAACACAGACAAACTGACTAATAATTAAAAAACTAAAAGGGAATAAGATCAGAATAAAATGTTATTAAACACATTTTAATAGTTTTGATGGCGGACTCAAAAACAATCCAGCTTATGTTTAAGTAGTTTCCTTAATCAAAACTTCTGCTCCTGCTAGTGGAAAGATAACAGTAAAGAAAGTAGAAATTAGCCTGAATTTTGGGAGACTCCCTAGAAGCTGTCTTTTCAGATATTCCTACCAAACCTCTCCTCAAGATCAAGGAGATATAAAACTAAAATGACTCTTAAATCAAAGGAGGAGATACATCAATAATTACAATATATTTTGATATCATCTTGGTGTGGTTGACTTCTTTAGATGTTTCCTCCAAGCTGCTTTTAAAACATAGAATTAAACTGGGGTCAGAAAACAATAGACAATCCTTAGAACAGTTCTAGAAAAAATGATAAAATAGTGGTTGGTTTGGTAGGTGATAATGCTTAGCTAGACACACACATGCCTCTGTGCTTAATATATCGTGTTCAATTACTTTTCCACATTAAAACTTGCTGTTGACGCTCCTTTATTTCTCATTTTTACCTTGTTTGTTCTTCTTCTTCTTCCTCCTCCTCCTCCTCCTCCTCCTCCTCCTCCTCCTCCTCCTCCTCCTCCTCCTCTTCAAAATAGCTTTTTCTCCATTTTCCTTGGTATAGTTTTGCTCTTTCTTGTTCTTGAATTCCTAATGGGAAAATGACTGGCTGGGAAGAAAAGCAATACATGAAGTGGCTTAAGAATTAGACACACTTGTTCTTGACTATAATTTGCATATTTGGTGTGGTGTAGGGCAGGAAAGGGCAACTTTTGGATATCTTCAGTCTTGTTTAATAGATGATGGGTAAGAGCTATAGGGAGTGGGGCTATGATACAAAGTAGAAAGAGAAGTATTTTTGTCATAAATGTGACTGATTTTTTCCAGTTTATTCAAATGTTTTGTTTCTTTAATCTATCTTGGTTCAGTCCAAATAGAATCTTGTTTTTTCTTAAATGATATCTGTACTTTCTGGAAACTGGTACTTGCCTATTCGTATATTGAGTTCTATTATTTACATATATAGGTTAAAAAATTGAAGCAATAATTATTTTAATATTTAAGAAGAGAAGGAAAAACTTTCTGACATTTTATCTGACAATTAGACCATTAGTTGTGCAGATATTTTGATTCAAAGTAGGAAAGGTACTTCAAATCCAGCACGCTCTTTTTAAGTCTCTTATACAAACTGTGCCTTTTTCTTCTCCTTGTCATCTTTTATACCTCTTTTATACCTCACATCACTTTCCTGGGACTGTATATAATTGAAACACCATGGGGAAAAAACCATTTTTTTAAAAGTGCTGCTGAAAGAGACAGCCAGAAAAGCTGTGTTAGACCTGACGCAGCTTTAAATTTAAATACAGCATACCTCTATTAAATTATATATGTGAGTGTATGTGATGTACTTATAGTGGAAACTTATAGACTTAATGAAGTTTTTAAAAATTCCTGCACATGAACAAGAAGTTTTAATCCTGGCAAAAGTGCAATAAATCAGGGGTTACTTGCTGCAATATCTGGAGAAGAAACATAAAGTAAAAACAAGGCTGACTCATATGAACAAGTATTGATTTTAAGCAAGCAGTTGAACATATAACTAGATTGAAATTATGGGAAATGTTTAGAGGTAGAACAAGTATTTGTTATCTGTAGTATTGTATCTTTAGATGTAACAAAATCTCATGATCAGTAATTTAATTAAAACAGGATTTAATTAAAACAGAATTTCATTCTCTGAACAGTGTAGGTAGGCACATAGTAATGCTATTCTATGCTAATGTAGTGATGCTATCACGCTCCTTGATAGAAATAAAGAAGGCACTTCAATCTTTATCACTATTCTGCAGGAAGCCGCAATTGAAGTTTAAATTAGCATATTAATTTCAAAAAGATTCAAAATACTAACCCTGATCATTTGAGCACGTATTTCATTTTAACTGTCTCTTAATAGTTTTCCACCCAGTCAGAAATTTAAAAAAAAAAGATTATTATATGTCACAAAGATTCTAAATGAAGCATTAGAAAATATTCAGGGTTGAAAAGATACCTTGAAATAAAGTAAAGCAAAAATTGAAAGAAATAAAAAGATAATGATAAGAAGGAATAGTAGGTCTCAATTGCCAAATCTAAGGACCATAATCGCACCATATTTGAAAGAGATGAGAAATTGAATAACATAAGTGAAGAACAACTGGCAATTGGGTTGAATAATGATTACAAAATGTCTATAGATATCATGTTGATTGTGCATTCTCCAGCATGATTGGATGGAGAACCCACGGATGGGTTGTCTTAATCTATCTGCTCCAATTGGACTAAGTCTGAAATTGGTAACGCCCCCTCTGTGCCAAGTGCACCCCAGTTTTAGACTTAGTCCTATTTGCTCTAAGACGCGTTTTGTCTTCGCTCCTGGAGCAGAAGACTGTTAGATTCCATTTAATTGCTTAGCTCAGGCTATTAGTATTAATTGTTTTTATTATTGATTTGAATCGATTATTAGCTAGGAAAAAGGATCAATTAGACCAGTCTGAAGCCTATTTAGGCTGACAGACCCACACCCCCTCCCCCTGGGGGGGGGAGTTTTCCCCTTGTTCGTTTCCCTCAGTTAGGGACAGCAGTTCGAACCTTCAAAATCACTCGCTTTCATCCGGAGCTGCTTTGACGATCCTCCGACTGCCAGCTGATCGTCGGAGGCATTGCTGATCGCACTGAGGGCTCCGCAACGTCATCGAGCCTCGTCAGGCCGGCAGGGAGCCTTCCCAAGTCCCTCGATCCCAGCCGACAGCAACAGGTGAGAAATTGGGCGCGGCCCAATTTTCGGAGCTCAGCCGGCCTAATCGCATGCCACCAGCTGCTTAGGAGCCCAGGCGATTCATCCGAACGAGGGCTCATCGCAGCTTACACCCCGGGCCTCAAGGCCTCCTTCCAACGGCCGTTTGTTTTCTGGGCCTTTTTAAGGCGCCAAATTGGCGGCCGCCATTTTGAATTGCCTCCGGCAGCCATTTGGGGTGTGGCTCAGCCCGACGGCCATTTTGTAGGTGGTTGAGGCCAGTGACGGCCATTTTGGGAGTGGCGAAAGTCACTGGTGGCCATTTTGAGTGGGGCTGAAGCCTTGGCGGCCATTTTGTTTGTGGCTGAAGCCCTCGGCGGCCATTTTGAGTGGGGCTGAAGCCTCGGTGGCCATTTTGTTTGTGGCTGAAGCCCTCGGCGGCCATTTTGAGTGGGGCTGAAGCCTCGGCGGCCATTTTAATTGTTACTAAAGTCATCGGCGGCCATTTTGTGCGTGGCTAAAGCCACCGGAGGCCTTTTTGGGTGTGGCCGGAGTCCAGGCTGCCTGGAACCTTCTTCTGAAGGCAGCATTCGATCATCGGTGGCCAACGCTTCAGAGAGCAGCTCCGACCTGGGAGGGCCTGATCGATCCTAAGTGATCGGGGTGCCCACATCAGTTCCCCGCCCTTCCCCTCTAGGGCTGAATTATCTCTGTAGACTCCCTTGGTGAACTACAGCGCTGAGGGGGCGTTTTGCCAAGGTTGAGACCAGAGCAACCGTCATGGCAGAGAGAGGCAGCGAGCCGGTCAAGAGAAGTCGTCAATCAGAGGCAAGTGGAAAGAGCACCACCAAGCGAGCCCGACTAAGCAGGGAGCCACAGAGAGAGGAAGGGGGCCAAGGACCGAGAACGGTATCCCCAGATCTGGCAGGCACAAGGGGGAGGTCTATATTTGAGCCCCTTTCTTCACATAGTGCCTCGGCCCCAGGGGCTTGGTCTCCCCCCAGAGGAATTACCGAGTCAGATTCAAGCATAGCTGTGACCTCAGGGAGGGGTATGACTGGTCAGGACACCTCAGGGCCCCAGGCCACATTTACACCCACTGCAGCAGGGCTTCGCCTCCCTGAGAACCAGGCCCTGAACCCAAACTTGCTCCAGTCCATGATAGCCCAGGCTGTGGCTCAGTTTATGGCCTCCAACACTCCACAGCCACCCCCCCAGACCACACATCACTCACAATCTCCGGACTGGATGGATGACCCCACATCGGACCTGGAACCTGATCTTGTCTGATGACGAGGGCATCGCCCCATCCGAGCCCACCCCTCCTGTTGGTCTCTTTGACCATTCCTTCTTTAATTCCCTGTTACTCAAAGCCTGTACTACTGCTAACCTCACTCAACAACAGGAGACCCCACCAACATCCCAAGGTCCCCATGCCATTTACACTGAACCCTCTATCTCACAGAATCATATTCCCTGCCCTCCCCTTTTTCTAAAGATGGTCCAGAAACAATGGGAGAACCTAGGATCCCCCTTGAGCCCTGGGGCAGTAGAAAGACAATTGTTCAATGTCGCTCCTTCCCTGGCCTCCCTTTTGGAGATACCCGAAATTGATGAACCCTTGAACTCTTTGTTTCCCAAGTCCAATATTCCTGGGGACATAAATGAGGCACTAAGAGCAGAGGACAAGAAGATCGAGTCTGCCCTACGCAGAGCCCACCAAGCGTCAGCCTGGGCAACGAGGGCGGCAACCTCCATGGCCTTCTTTGCCAGGGCTTTGGTCCTGTGGTTACGGGAGCTCCAGGACATGATCCCTCCGGACCAGCTCAGAGTCCACCAGAATCTGGGTAAGTTGGTGGCCACGTCCCAGTATCTGGCCGATGCCTCCTTACACACGGCCAGATACACTGCCCGGACCATCGCGGCAGACATTTCAGCACGAAGGCTCCTCTGGCTCAGAAACTGGCGAGCAGACACCAAGGCCAAGTGGCGTCTGGCCTCCAAGCCTTACACAGGTGGACAACTCTTTGGTAAGGCGCTAGAGCCATACCTAACCGAAGGTAAGGATAAACGCAAGATCTTGGTCAATACATCAAGGAGGGGAGATAGGCGCTGGGGGAACTTGTCGCAGAGTAACTACAGAAGGCAGCCCTTTCGGCCAGCGCCATCCTGGGATTGGGCCCAGGCTTCTCGCCCCTCCTTTCAGAGGCAGGAACGACAACAAGATCGTTCAGCATACAGAGGCAGACCACAGTTCCAGACTAAACGGTCCTTTCGGGGCACAGGGAGCCGCTCCTTCAAGCGAGGCAAGTGAGTCTGCAGCCTCACCTCCCATAGGAGGCCGGCTGGCCCTCTATTCCAACATTTGGGCGGCCACTACTACGGATGCATGGGTGTTAGACACCGTCTCCCAAGGCCTACGATTAGAGTTTTATTCCCATCCACCCGACAGGTTCCGCTCTTCTCCTATTTCAACGAACAGGGCCAGAGCTGAACTTATGTCAGAAGCAATAGCTCATTTATTGCAAATACAAGCAATTGAACCAGTTCCAAAAGAACAAGAAGGGCGAGGGTTTTACTCAGACCTCTTCGTCATTTCCAAGGCTTCAGGGGGCTGGAGGGCGATCTTGAACTTAAAAGGTCTAAACCTCTACCTGAGGTATAAGAAATTTAAGATGCAATCACTTCAATCAATCCTGGCTAGCGTCAGGCAAGGTGACTTTCTTACCTCCATAGACCTGACTGAGGCATATTTGCACATTCCCATTTTTCCTGGACACCGCAAATTCCTCAGATTTAGTTATGCCCGACGCCATTACCAGTACAGAGCCCTTCCATTTGGCCTCTCATCTGCACCGAGAGTATTTACAAAGGTACTGGCAGTGATCGCAACCCAC